AAAGTTAATGACGTTTAGAAAATGGTGGAAAAAATTAAACAATACAATGGGAAATTGATGTTGGCGTTTATTTCGATTGCATTGGCACTTGTTGTTTTTGCTGCTGCTTCCAGTCCGGCTAATGGCAATTTGGAGGCATTGTTAGTTCATTTGCGACGACGACGACGTCTGGCAATTGCAATGACCTTGACGCAATCGCCAAGCCATAAAAATAAAAATAGAAATAAAAATAAAAAAAAGGCACTCGTTCCGATTCGTTGACTGTGTTTGCTTTGATCTCCTCAGTACCCCAAAACACACCCAACCCCAAAGCTTGTTAGCTTCAGCTGGCACTCAAACGACACTTAATAGCCCGGCTCATCGTTTCTTTGGCAGCTACCTGGTATTCAAAAATGCATATATTCGATATATGTATATCTATACAATATATACTACAACAAATTTGAAATTCTAATTTGATGATTGCCTTTCAAGCGCTCGTACTTATTTGCATAGCTAAGCCGGTGAAAGTCCGAAGTCAGATACTTCAATTGAGTTTGATCATGATCTTTAACGCTTTTGATTAGCACTTGAGCACACATGCGTTCTGACTGCCAGCAAAGTAAAAGTAAAAGCTAAGACAAAACCAGCAAATTAAAGCCATGCCTGACCCAAAAAAAAATGTACAACACAAAACAGCAGCAGCAACAGCAACAAGAACAACATTGTTTAGCCACAAAACTGTAAAGAAAAAGAAGACTATATATTATGGGCTTTCCTCGTATTGACCCTTTTCTTTATTATCACGTTAATTACCATAATTAAGAACACAATGCGGGCCAAAATGCAGCTGCGTTTTATTGGTATAGATACTGGTTAGATATTTGATAAAAACCAAAAACTTACTTTCTATGCTGCTGCAGCAGCAGCAGCGGCAGCAGCAAAATTGCAGCAAAATTAGCTGTGCGTTATACTGATTGACCATAATATCGTAGAGTTGGAGATTTCTCATTTTGATGCCACTTGGCCATAACCACAACCGAAAGTTGTTAGCTGTTAGAATACTCTTGGTCAGAAAGTCTTTGCTATGCTCATTCTTTTTTTTTTTTGTTTCTGTTTTTTATTTTCTTCACTGTCGATGCCCATTCCAAATAGGTCAAACTGGCTCGCATTGTGGTTAGGCCCTAGCCATGTGTGTTTGTGTGTGTGTGTGTGTGTGCTATTTGTGTGTGTGCTTAACACAGATTTGGTTTTTTCGTATTGCCTTTGGCATTTTGCATGGCCGGCTTCCAGATTGTTAGCGTGTGATATTCTAATTGTGAGCGAGGCTCATTCTAATCAAGTTGGTTTTGGTTGTCTGCTGTTGCTGCTATTTCTTTTGCTTTGATTTTAATCGAGAGCCCAAGTTTGTGTCTTCAGTCATTGGCGTACAAACTTGTGCCTGAAGTCTGTGATTGATGCGTGCGTTTTATGTGGAGCAACATAATTTGTTCAATGAAGTGCCTCAGATGCCGCAAACAAGATTACACTTTGATTACTGTGGAGCCATCACAATCTCAAAAGCCATCTAGTGTTCCTGTTTCCCCCATCCCCCTCTCTCTCTCTCTCTCTCTCTTTCCTCTTGGTATCCCAAGTAATGTGCCCATTTTCTGCTCAATTAGCACACGAAATCTGTTGTAAATTAAACAAATTTTACGCCCAGTTACGCGGCACACGAGCCCAATTTGTACAGTTGGTACCTTTCAATTGTGCTCATGCAGAAAGCTGTAAAAATTAAACAACTAACACAAAACAATTAAATAAACTATAAAACGCCTATTTTTTGCATTTGCATATGCGCTGAGGCTTTTCAGAAATAAATTATATGAAACACGCGAGGTCATTTAGTCGCAACATCGTGAATACATAGTCATAAATGAAAATGCAATTGTTTAAACAAATTGTGTGTTTGCCTATTGCTGTTAACGTTATTGTTGTTCTGTCTGCTTTCAACCATTTGTATTTGCTTTGCTTGTGTTTTTCTTTGCTGCCTCGTCGTGCACAAGCAACTTGCTTAATTTATTCAGTTGCACGGCCCATTTGTCGGCTTTTCTACTCGTATTTATTTAGTTTTAAAGGTTTTTGTTTTCGCTGTTGTTATTGTTGTTGCTGTTGCCTTTGTCGTTGCTGTTACGGAATGTGTGTCAAACGAATTCGACACTTGACAGCCACACATAAAAATATCCGTTACAGCTGAGCGCACGCTGTCGATGATGATCAGTTCAATGATTTCATGATGAAAACTCAATGTTAATACTAGTAGACACATGCACTGAAATAACCATATACGTAACTAAATATGTACTTATGTGTATAATTACCATAATCTATAACTTCTTGTGCATTGAACCCATTATTAAAATATGCTTCTTTGCACACTTCAATAAGAAGCATTGCTTAGGTTGCCTCTCTAACAGAAGAGAAGCACTTCCAGACATGGCATACTTTATAAGATGTCTAAAATCTTAATTCCTTCATCCGACAATGACAATTTAATATTAGAAATGCCTTTAATTTGGAAAACTTTAAGCTTACTAAGCAATACTCGATCTCATTTTGTAACAACAAAAACCTTTTCTATAAATAATTGTATGCAGCTAAATCGACCAGATTATTTCAGGCATTATGAATTACGTGCAATTTCCTGCTTATCAGAGTACTGACTACTGATGGAAGGTCACTTGCTCCCATTTCATTGGGTTTTTGCAAATGTTTTCATTTTACTTTTTGTACGAACTCTCGAAACTGGGTAACGAGAGCAGATGCCAATCAGAGTTCATTATTCATAATTTCTGTTGAGCGCAATGCGCACCAATTTTTATTCAAAGTTTATTTCAGTTTTATGCGCCTGTAGGGGATTTTCAGATTTGTCGTGAATCGTGTAACGCATTGAGACATATATGAATAATACAAGTTATATGAATAATAATAATAAGAATTTCAAACCTTAAAGATTTTGAATTGATCTATATTTAAAGAAAAAACATGTTATTATTTTATAAAGTTGGCAATATTTCTAATATGTTTTTTCTCTTTTCTTTATTTAAAAACTTTTCCCAGGTGGACAATCTTTAAGATATTTAACAATACATTAACAGTTTTCATTTATCATTATATGGTGCATGGGGATTTGGGGAATTTATTCAGGTTTAAATTATTCAACAGTATATTGACATATAAAATAATTGTTACTAAACTTTGGATTGATTCGTTATATCGGCGTTCAAATGGGTCCAGCGTAAGTTTGGATGATCAGAGAGTCCAAATATTTAAAATTGATATTGTTTTTAAAATGAAACTTCTTATTGCGTCTTATTTTAATTCAGTTATTTAAAGTAAACTGCTTCTAATTTTATTTTCACAAGATTTTCGCCCTGATCTTATTCACTAATTCAGAGCCATTTTGCAAGAGTATTCGATTTTCACCATTGTCTTAGGTAAATATATCTATTTGTCTAGCCTGCTGTGTTATTGTGTTATTTTGCCTGCATGAGCTGCGCTTTCAGTTTCGAGCAGCTGTTTAATTGTTTTTAATATTATTGTAGTTTTTTTGCGACATGGGTGTCCGAGTGGAGCGGAGCCGAGTTAGTGACATTTTTGCGCTATGCCCACTTACGTCATGCGGTTAATTTTAGCTAATTTATTGCACTACGAGTATTGTCTACCAACTTTGTTGTTTTCGTTAGTGTCGTTTGTTGGAAATTTGCATTTGGGCGGCTTTCAGTTCACAGTTGTGAGTGAGGTAACACGGTTAGCTGCGATTTGAATCTATATATATATATATATATAATCTCCCTCCCTCTTTCTACCTGGATTGTGTGGGTCTCAGGCATTGACAAATGTTGTTTGTTGGCATTATGGACGCCGCATAATGTCAGTCATTTATCAACGCACGCCGGCGATATCAGCTGACCCAATTTTGGATCAAACAATTTCAATAATAACAAAACTCCTATAGAGATTATAGCACTCGGATAATAGACGAACAACTACTGCAGCTGAAATCAAATTTCAATGGGTGAGTTTGGCTGTCCGTCTGCCTGTCTCTCTATCTGTCTCTCCTGTGACATCATAAGGCGCTATGTGAATGAAATGTGTTGGCAGCCGAGGAGAGTAAACAACATAAAGTGGGGAGAAAGACAAAAATCAACTTTAAGCAACCTGAAATCATTGGCGGCCTTTTATCAAGCGCTTGGCCATCTATGTAAGCCGCATGTTGTTGTTGTTGTTTTCGGTATTTGGTCGCAACGGGCCACCGATAATGATCGGGCAATTGCTGTCGGACAGCTCTTCCTGGCCATGACTGGCTATCAATGTTCTCACAGTAGTTACACTGTGTGCTTGTCTGCAGGAAACTCCAATGAAAAACTGCTTATCATGTGCTCCATTTGGTTATTGATATCTGTTTAATACCCGTTTTTAGACTTGCCTCAACTGAGATTGCTGTTTGCTGTTGTTGTTGTTATTGTTGTTGCTGTTGTCATGTTGCAGCTGTTGACGGAAGTTCGTTAAGAGTTTTGTTGTTTGACTTCAATCACAATTGAGCCCTGTCGTTGCGCCTTTAGTGTTATGCTGGGGCAGCTTCCTTCGCTTGCTTGCTAGCTGGCTTACTTAGTTTTTATGCTGATTTTAACCCATTTTGGTGGCACGCAAACTTCGCTCCAAGTTCGCTCCAAAGTTCGCTTCATGTTGGCTCCATCCACAAATCTTGTGCTGACCCAATTTGTTAGGGCTGTGTCGGTTGAAAGTTTCGCCCGGGGCCATATTCGTAGCTTGGGCGAAAACATGCACGCATCAAAAATTCATTAAACATTGTTTTTTTATTTTGGCTTGTATGATTTTTGCATAAATGTAAACGGATTTCTGTCGAGTACCCAACCGGTTTGCCAACGTATTGGTTTTCTTATATTAATCACTGAATTTCGCACTTCTCATTTCTCCAATTCTCTAATTCTCTCTTTTCTCTCTTTTCATTTTTGCAGCAAACACAATGAAGTCAAGCACTCGAACTCTTTGCACGGCGCTGCATTTAATCGTAAGTATTATTGAAATAAACCGGGAATTAATTAATATCTTCGGCATGCCTGACAAAACTGATGGAACTCATTTGAAAACCTAAAACTGATCTTACAATAGATGGTTTTCGTGGCAGCTATATGACACAGATATTAGATTTTTACAATTTGATCTAGTTACTTATTTTCGCCCGATTATTCCAATGTCAGCTATATTATGTAATGCTCCGATTCAACAAAGTTTTATGGTCAAAGCTACAAATTTGACAGACAGACCACTGATCATCTGTATTATATTATCTATATTATTTTGGCTATTAATGATGGTTAAGATAATAAATACTTTTTGGGGTCGAAGACGCTTAGAAGAGTATTAAAAGTATTTTTGTAGCCTCATTATTTGGCAGTGAAATGAAAAACTTGCCAATGCATGCTAAGACACATCAATCAGCTAAAATGATCTTAGCTCTTGATGATGGTTAAGATTTTATATATCTTATGGTGTCGCAGACGTTGCGTTCTACATTTCCGTAGAAGGGTCATGAAAATATGTTTATAGCCTCATTCCTTGGCGCAGTGAAATGAAAAATTGGCCAATGCGGGCTAAAACATATCAATCAGCTTAGAATCTGAGTCAGCTCCAGCTCGAGACTAGGCCGTTAATGACAATTGCACGGCCAGGCGATTAACCTAAATATGAGACCCGGCAACAAGCATAAGCACAAACACTGGCGGGCATGTTTACTTGCCACACACACACTCCCTCACCTTTTCCCCGTATGCTAAAATCGATTCGTGTTGTGCCAAGTTGCCAAAAGTGGCACAACTACAGGCGGCAAGCGGCAAGCAGCAAACAGCAAACAGCAAGCAAGAAGCAACAAGCTGCATGCTTAGATTCTAAGGCGCTTGGCCTCGGCCTCAGATTCAGTTTTAGTGTCAGCTTCAGCCTCCGTTTCAACTCTAACCTGGCGCGAGCTGCTGGCGAAAGTTTTCTTTTCTGCGGCCTTAGAATCGTGAGAGAATAACGAATTCTCCAATATCTTCTCTCTGCTTATAAGCCAGCACGAACGAAACCAAAATCTTGGCGCATTTTCTTTGCATTTCCATTTTAATTAAAGGAGCTTACCTCGTCGGCAGTCTTGCATAGATTAGTCGGGGCATTAATGTCAGCTCGATCGTGATTTATGTCAACAGTTTTATGGCCATTGCCATTGCCATTGCATGGACCTGGCAACAACTGTGTTCGCATAGCATAACGCTTCTAATGACCACTTCCCAACTATCCACTTTCTTTACAGACAATTGCAGCACTAACGACACACGGCGCACAGATAACAACGCCAGCAAGTAAGTACATTAATCTTGCAACACACTTTAAGCAGGTTGTTTAAATTTCACATATGGCAATAATTGCCTTTAGTAGATTTTAAGTTTCTAATTTCTTTTACATTGGTAATAAGCATACAAAATGCTGAGGAGTCGTCTTTTATAAATCGCTTGGATCGTTATCCACTGGGCAACAGAATACGATGCTTTCGTGTTTTCTGATTGGAAGCTATTTACCAGTTATATTTAGTGGCTAAGGACATTATTTTTCTTAGTAATTTACACAAATCTAATGCACAAATTGAGCTCTTGAGTTAAATACTTGAAGTAGTTCAAATAATAATACTTACATCTAACTAAAATATATTGACAAAAGTAATAAAAGAGTCAAGAGTATTGAGTACTCTCAGAATATCAAATGCCCCAACATGAAATTCAACCCAAAATAGGCAAGTGTTCTTTTAAAAGTTAGCTTTAAGGGAAAGCTTAGTTAAATTTGTTAATAATTATTGCAAGCCTGGCTGAAATTAGGATCTTTTAAGATCTCCATAGTTTTTCTGCTGTAAAAAAGGTTTTTTTCTTCGATTTTTAAGCCAGTTGTCAATCCTTAAGAGGCAACACTTAATCCATCCTGAGCACAATTACTAGCTTAATGCAACGGAAAAGTGATGGTGTCTCCATCTATATATATATATATGAATGTATATGAATATGACTGATGTTTTGTGTCTGTCATTTACCGTTGCCAAACATACAACACACAAAAAGCACATTTTGGTCTGTAGTCACATAAACGCCGCTTTGGCAAACAAAAGTCAATTCATGCCGCATTTAGCTGTCTTATTAAAAAGCGATGACTCCTCTTTTGAAAGACCCGCCAAATATTGCACCACACTTCCTCTTGTGGGTGTGTGTGTGTGTTTGTGTGTGTCGAGTGTTTGGCAATCTCTGACTAAGCTGCCAATGAGCGTGAACGGCAGTTGATGGTCTTGATTATATAGTTCAGATTGCGCCAATAGTCGGGTTCAGCCTCATGGAGACTCTCCAGATAGGTCAGTAACTGTCCATAGGTGAAAATCTGACGCTGACTACCCATGATGACAGGGACTTTACCTATCACAGGGTCATCAATGATGCCACAAGCACAACGTAATCGGCCAACGGGCAAGAGTAAAAGAGTCTCGGCGACATAGCTGTAATGAAGGTAGCCAAAATAAGACTGTCTTTCAAGAGATGTGCCTTCTTCAAGAGATATCAGCTCACTCTTACGTAAGGGCTTTGTTACTGAGCTCCTGCACCTCGGCACTTGGGGTGATGGTGCCATGTTCCCCGTTTTGCAAACTAAACCTTACGCAGTTCATCAGCTTGGACTCCTGGATCTGAGGGATGGGTCAGTTGTCAGTTGAGCCAGGGCAAAGCTGAATAAAAAATGCCAACTGTAAGCAGTTAAGAATTTTGAGCCAAAAAAGTCGTCCTCAATCTCACTATTAACACTCAAATTGTGGCTGCTGAGCAGACGACAAACAAAGCTATCGTTGATCTCCGCGCACCACTCCAGAGAGCAGACGAAGGTCAGAAAAACGATTGATGTGTGAGAAGCATAGAAAGTCAAAGGTGGCCAACTCTGCGTTGACCACATGGTAAAAGCCTCATTCTCACTCTTGTTCGTATCCAGCGTAGTCCAACGACATCCATCAGCTCGCCAATGCACAAGATATAGAGCTGCGGGAGCTCGTCATTCAGCATCCAAGCGTGGATAATATCGAATGCCTGTGGTGTCACTTAATCAGCTGACTGTCGGGGAGCATAGGTTTTTTTCAGCTGGCTACGTTTAAAATAAGACGAATATATTCGCAGCACGCACATATGGCTATAGAACCTTCCAACTCCAATCTTCCCAGCTGCAATCATCCCACGGCAATTGGAGCTGCATTTCACCTATTGGAGATCTGGATGGGAACAGTTCCATGACCCCATTTTTAGCCCTACTTACATCAATCCTATCAATCAGGCTGTAGGACAGCTGAATCCAGCTCATCGCAAAGTCTGTCAAATGATTGAAGAATGATAAACAATTTTTTAAATATATTTTGTATATCTATCTTTTTGCCATCGAAATTCATAGTTGTTGTCTGAGTCGCTTTCTTCACCTCCATCATTTATGAGCAGCTGTATTCGCTGGAATTGGTTTCGGATATGTAAATATAATCATTTATCTATTGAAATACCTCTTGTTCGAAGTTAAACGTTTCACTTGCCTGAGAATTTTGGGAATTGTGTGAGAAAGTGTTAATATAAAAATAAATTAATAAACACAGCTTTCTTCGAGTTACCGAAGATTAATGTATACTAGTTGTATATGGTAGCTATAAAATTTACTATGCCGATATTAATTTTTCTCAAATAAAATGGCATAGTAGAGGATAATCAGGTTGGTCAACATATTTTCAAAAAGAAAAAAAAATGGTTTTTAATATAGGAACTCAATTTTCGATTGAACGTTTCCAAGGTTTGCAGAGGTTAGACATACTCTGTGGGTATTACAAGACAAATAAATGTACCCCATACAACATATATTCAGTTCCTTAAGTCATTTAGGGAATTTTGGCACATCATCTAAATGGTATTAACAATAATAATATGTCTGCAGAGATTTCTGATTTTATTTGATGCAAAATGAAATATCTTCCACAATAACTTAAAATAAGAATAATACGTTATATTAGTTTTCCGTCAGTTACCTAATGTATATCTTTGTTTAGTCGCTAGAGTTGTTTTTGGCTTGAGACCCTCCCTATTTGATTATGCAGTTATGCATTTCACAAAATTATACATAATAGAAAGTCATTAAATATTTTATGTGCCAGCAACAACAAACAATAACGACTTGTTGGCTTGGGTTTTGAGCTTTGGGCCAAACTAAGAAATGAAAAACCGGCTCTGAGAGTTGCATGCAATTACTTTGCCCAGCCGCATATGCTGTAGAATAGGAATAGAAACAAAGTTAACTGATGCGAAATGGCTGGAAGGTTCGTTGAACTAAACCAAAGCATCGGCAAAGCCATCGTCATTGCCATCGCCATCGCCATCTTTAGACCCAACTCCACTTTAGCCAAGTTGTGAGCCAAGCACACGCCGTTTGTCCAGGCCAACAAAAGAAGAGCAAAAAAAAACGAATCGAGAATCTCGCTGGAATGGCGAAATGCGAAATCGCACGCGAGGTGTTGTGCTGCATATGCGATATATACACATATATATATATATATAAATAGATATATATATATTTATATATATCTGAGTATATAGCCCTAGAAGCGAGTTCTTTTGCGGCTTTGGTGCCAAACCGCATGCTGAGACTTGAAGCTTAAAGTTTCTTTCTGGCTTGCTTTTCTTGCTCGGATAGCAAGTTCAAGGAACTTGCATCTTTCTAATGGCAACTGCTGCTCCGCTGTTTGAATGTCTTTTCAATGTCATTAACTTGGTCGGTTGCATGTTTGTCGCAGCGTTTGTTTCCGCAGTTTTGTTGCCAGCTGCAGCTGCAGCTGTAGTTGCTCCCAGGGGCATCTTTCCAGCCATTGTGTTTGGCCCCGCAGTGCGAGTTGCCTTTTTGTTGGCCATACCCTGTAATCACATTTTGTTAAAAGGGATGTTATGAAAGCTAATATAAGACAACGGTAACACCATTAAGCACTTGAGCAGCATCAACAGGGGAGTCGATCTAACTATCTTTGTCTATCTGCCTGTATCAACTGGTAATTGTGTCTATATCTGTATATTTTCTTATAGACTTTAAGAGGTAGAGAGATGCACTTTTTGAAAATATAGATATACCATAGGTAGATATTAATTCCTCACTCAAATACAAAATATTCGATTAAAATCTATTTACGATCCCCATATTATGAGCATATTATAAATGATTAGAAAGCTAGCACAACTACACTAAAAAGGTTAATTCTCGTAGAGCATACACATATCTTAAAGATTACGATACTTAAAAAATTGCTTAAGAAATACCTATTCCATTGAGGCATTCTATTAAATATCGCATAATTAATACTTAAGTTATTTGGGAATCACTTTGATAATGGAATGATTCTTAGGGAAGAAGAAGCACTCTGCTGATCTCAAATATCTCTTTGCATATAGGGTATCTGCTAGTTGTGACACCCTCGCCTGGAGCAGTCTTACTTGCTTCATTTTGTAGATTCGTGTATCGCTGATGATTTATGCCAATCGCATTTTCAGCTAGAGTTCGAGCTTTAACTTTATATTGTTACTGGCTAACTGTTGTTTTAACTGTAGATGCACAAATATTTTATGACATAACTTTATACGCCCGCTTCTTGCAGAGGATGCGCCCGACTCGTTGAGCGCTGCCATTGCAGCGGCCGAGGCGGAGGCGGAAGCGGCCACCAGCAACAGCAAACCGTCAGCGGTGGAGCCGAGTGTGCGAGTCAAATGTTTGTCTGGCTCAATGCTGATCACGATTAAAGATGCGCCACCCAATCACGAGACGGGCCTCTTCAGTGGCATGATCTATCCGAAAGGCCTCTCCAAGAATTCCACATGCCTCAGCGAGTACAGGTTAGTGCCAGATTGTAATTTAGATAGTTGAACAATCAGCTATAATCATAAATGGATTTCTTTTTTTTTCGCAGAGATCACATTGGTCCACTCCGATATAAGTTGCCGCTGCGTAGCTGCAACACAATGCCCAAGGAAACGGTAAGTCAAGTTGAGAGTTCAATTAAATATATACATAAGTATTCAAGTTGAGCATCCCACATGCCAAGAGTTTAAATACTATTACCTCAGTCATAAGTTGTGTAGCTTAAAAGTTGTTCTGCCTTTTTGGCATGCTAATTGAGATTTAGCTGAACGCTTGTATGGCAAGTAGCAGCATGCAGCATCAATCGCGATGAATTGGATACAAGGTAAAATCAATATGCCATAATGATTAGCAATTTACTCATCGCTCTGCGAACGTGGCTTGGAATTGACTCACAAAACGCACATGAAATAAATTTTGTTGCAGTTGTGACTCTTTGGCATTCAATGAATGGCACCTTTTTAACTACATCATTAACTAGCTGATTGTAAGGCAGATTGCCTGAAGATGGACAGTTAAAATTATAGTCAACTTGAGTTGAAGGTGTGAGAAAATTTAAAGCTGCCTTTCATGCAGATTTTGTAAGCAAGTTGGTTAAATAAATAAGTTGATTTAATAAATGAAATTTTGTAAGAGGGAAAGAAAGTTTTAGAGAGATAGAAAAAAAAGAGAGAACAATTTAAATTACGCGTGTCTATCTTTAGAATTTTAAATAATAAGCGACAGCAAATTTACCGTCTTAGATACTTCAGATTCTATTCTCATACTTATTATACTGAATTCATGTCACCTTCCACAAAAGCAGCCACAAACAGAGATGTGCTTCAAAAACAATCGACAATGAAATGCAATTCACAAAATAAACACTGTTTATTGCTAATAACTAAATCAAACACAAAATATTTATTCAATTTGTTAGCAGTATTTGCAGTTGAGCCCAAGTTCATTATATCCAATGACCAGAATGAACGCGAAGTCGAATGCGAAACCTTAATCGAAATGGCTAATAAATTGTCATAAATAAATTGTAGTTTGGAGTTTATATTGGACATGGCATAGATAAATTGGCTAGATAGTTGGCTTATATGGCGTGGCTTATTTATTGGCTCATAGCAGCGATTTACGCTCCGATGTATTTTGAAATCTCAATTAGCACCCATCCAGCTAAACGGCGATCTCAACTCACGCATGGATATTTTTATGGTCAACACACACACTCACACATACACACACAAATCAGCATTTATGTGTCGCCGTTGTGATATAAATTTCTCGTATGTAATTTCTCAGCATTTATTGGGGCAGACTGTTTTGTAATCTTGTTGGTATTTCCTTTCGCTTCGATTGGTCTGACATACATTTTTCAAATTGCAAATTATAATTGCTCTTATGGCAAGCATCGTTTAACGTTCCATGCTTACATAGATGTGTATTATGTGCTGTGTAGATACATGTACTTCTTTCTCTGTACGAACAGGTAACTGCTGCTGGAACATTGACGAGTTTGTTGCCTGAGTCTTTTGTGTTGAGTGCCGGCCACTTTGTTCCTCCTCCTGTTGACCCAAGCACTTGACGCGTTGTTTGAAATGGGAAGAAGTTGATAGCTAAAATGATTGTTAATAATGGAAGAGTCAATAAGCCAAGTGAAGTTACGTGACGGTATTTTTATTGTTAATGACGTTTTCATAGAGCTGCAGTTGATGTCATCTGCATGTGACCATGAAGCTGTTGTCAGGGCAGGATGCTGAGGTTACGTCAACTTTTAAGATGAGCTTGGTGAATGCACATTTGCATACAATTAACTTGCACACACACACACACTCACAGACACACAGACTCACACTTATGCAATTTTTTATATGTGTCTCTAATTAACTATGCCCATTTAAAGCAGCAACATTTTTTATATAAAAAGTCGCGTGTCAACTGCCGCAAAAAGTTGCCACGCCATTGACTCCCAACTGAGTCTCCACAGCGACCCTGTTGCTATTATTATTACTATTGTTGTTGTTGTTTAGCTAGTTTTTTTATTATTGTTGTTGCTGTTTGCGGCTGTGCATGTCAAATTCAATTAAGTGTGCTAAAAAACTTGCTTTTTTTTTAAACATAATGTTTAATTTTCCCATGTGCAAAAGGTATATTAGCCAGCAGAGATCAGCGATCATATTCAATTATTATTCTCTAGTTTTTGCTGCACTATGAACACTAACGGCGTATTTTAAGAATCACGTTGTCATATCTATTTATTATTATCTATTAACCGCATCCAAGGCAAACTATTTTTAGACTAAAAAATTCATAAATCAGAGATTATATTTACCACAAAAAAATATATGCTTATTCACTTGGTTAAAAAAACTATAAAAACCCATCTAATACTTATATATTCAGCAAAAACATTAAGTATCTGACTAAGATAATAAATCGAAATGTAATTAATAAAACATTTCACGCTTGCAGGGCATTTCCAAGTCGCGTAGCTATGACTAAACTTTGCTTATTTATTGTTTTTGTTGTTGTTGTTGTTGTTTTGCTTTTCCATTAACCATTACGTACAGGGTCAAAAGATATATATATATATATAGATAGATAGATACAGCCACAAGTGCGTAGCCTGAAGGGCGCAAAGCGTTTTAATTAATTTATAATTGCTGTGCAGTTGATGAGCAGCATACAAAATCAACAACATTTAGAACTGACGCTCAAGGCAAAGAATAGAGTAAAAATTCGTTTTGTTATTTCTTAAACGAAATACAAATTAGAAATGCTTGGACAGACAGTTTAAATTTTGTTGCCTAAGTCTTTCGTTACGTAATTTTCAACTGCCACAAATTATTGGATCAAACATGGTCATCATATGAAAATCGATTTGTTCTGAAGCGTCTTCAACGTTGGCGGTCATCTGAACGCGTTCAACGGCCGACGCCGTGACCGTGAAAACGCCAAAAGTGAACACATGTAAACGTGTTTCTTATTGTTATTGATATTTCATTTAAACGCTGTTGCTTGACTGGCCTGAAGGTCAACTAGCGCTGAACGTCACCCACGCAACTGCAGTTATATATATATGTTCTTCTATACATATATATATATATATATATATATATATATACACTCACATTACGTATGAGCCGCGTTGACATTTATGAATGCTACAAATGTTGGGGGATTAAGCGCACAGATAAGATACGAAATTTACATTTCTCCATTTCATTTACACATTAGTTGAAAGCAGCCGCTGCTGAAACCTGCTGGAAGAACGTTAATGCTGCTAGAAAACTAAGCGAACGCACAGAAGTGTCATAATGACATAATAGCTGTCTACTTGTACCGTTATGTGCCTGTGTTGTGAATCAAATCTTAAATGTCATTTTATTATGTCTTTTATTAGCCCATTGTCTGCCATTGGCTGATGCTGCGGCAGCTGGGAAATGCTGCTCATCTCTCTCTCTATCTCTCTCTCTCTCACACACCCAAACACACTCAGAAAATATAACTGTCAACAACAATAATCGAGAGACACGTTCAAGTTCTAGACCTGGCTTAAAGTCCAAGACGGAAACAACTCAAAGTCTCTGGCTTGGTTTATTACTCGCTGCCATAAATCGCATCAGGCCAAGTGAATGCAATTAAGTATGCCCCTACGGGTGACGATAACGCTGCCACTTAAATAAAGCATTTCCGTGCCCAAAAAGAGAGCTCGGCAAACCCAATTACAGCAAAAAAAAAAAACGTACGCGTCTTGGCCCATTACAAATACCCACAGACCACGCCAGCAATTGAGTCGAGTGCTCGATACGAAATTAGCACAAGCACCAGAGCACCGTTATGTGGCAGTAGAATGTGGCAGAGAGAAAAGTAAATGATCAGGCCGCGTGCAATGGTAACAAATTGTCTAGGGAATATAGCTTTGCTGCCTTAAAGATTAAAGCTGGCTGGCTGGCTGGCTGGCTGCTGCCGATGATGATGTAATCGACGGAAGTCTAAGAGCCGTTTGCAAATTTCAATTTCAGTTTCTGTATGTAAATAACAACTAAAATTAAAATTCATTACGCAAACATTGCTAATTTCTTGCGGATATGTAGATAACAGCAGACTTCACACTCCGCTGCACGGCTTTAGCACCATTCTATGGAAACTACAAAAACAAAAAATAATAGAAAAAAAAACATGAGGAAGTGCTCGTGATCTAAAGACGAGTTGAAGACCAAGTCACACATCAAATTTCTTGCTAGTAATTTTCAGCCGCATCGAAGCGTGAATCTCTATGCATAATGAGTTACTGGCAACAACAATACATTGACTACATTGACTACATTGTCTACTACAAGCATACATATATCGTTGCCCAGTTGCCCTGGCTAAGAGAACTGCCTAGCAGGTTTCTACTGGCTGACTCGCTAATATGGCTTCTTTGGGCATTAGCATTAAGAGCTGCAAGCATGCGATTTGATTTAAGGAACTTAGCCACAAAGGTAGGAGGCGATGTCCGCTGTGGCAAGTTTGTTGCCCAAGTCTTTTGTTTGGTGTACGTACTTGCGAAGAGCTGAAGCTGCTTCACAAAGAAAATTTGCTTTATATGTTCTACTTATTTCTAGGGTTTCTTTTAAAAGCTAGTAGAATATGTATGAATATTTATGTTTGTTGGATAATTTAGATATTTTAAATATTTCATAGAAATCAAGCAGTTTTTCTTAATATTTTCTTAATATACAAACACATGTGAGCTGTTTTAAGTTTGTTGCCTAAGTCTTTGTGCTATTTTTTCGTTAAGTATTTTAATCTAGTATATTTTAATTAATTAATGAGATAGAAATCTCTTAATAGCATGTTATTTACTTGGGAAATAATCATAAATTTCTATGACTGCTTTCTGAATTCCCATTCTAAGCACATTTCTCACATAACTTTTCGTTTCGCTTTCAGGACGATGGCGGCATTGAGTTCTTCAATACGATTGTGTTGCAGCCGCATCTGAAACTGATAACGGATCTGGGACGCGGCTACCATGTCCGCTGTGCCTACAAGAGCCGCGATGCAGCCATCAAGCCACGGAAGCATCTGCGCAAGCATGCCCAGAAACCGCAGGCGTTCCGCAGCGATGAGCACGATCGACGAGACTACGGACGATCGCTGGACAAGCAGCGATTGGGTGACGATGAACTCGACGAGGATGATGTCCATGATGTGGATGTCAACGAAGCAGCAGCTCTGAACGATGAGGCTGACAACGATGTGAATAACAACGAAATTCCATTCCCATGCCACATGAAGATCTATAACGAGGAGCACAAGATCGCCGATGATGTGAAAATCGGTGATCCGCTAACCATTGTCATCAGCATAGATCAGCAGAAGCTGTACGGTCTCCATGTGACCGACTGCATTGTGCGAGATGGTTTGGGTTGGGGTGAACAGCGCCTGGTGGGCGAAGATGGGTAAGTTAAACTATTCCCAATACAGTATGTAGCCAGATAAGCATTTGGAGTTTTCATTGTTCCTTAGCTGTCCCATGGACAACGAGATCATGGGTCAATTCAACTATACAGAGGATCGCTTGGCAGCCAATGTGACCTTCCCGGCGCACAAGTTCCCCTACACCACATCCGTATATTATCAGTGCAATGTGCGATTGTGTGCCCTGGAGGATCCCAGCTGCCAGGAGGCACCTCTGTGCAGCGCAAAGCGACCCAAGCGTCAGGCTAGCGATGCTAAGGATGAGGAAGCCTTGCCCGCCACCATTGAGGTCTTCTCCGGTCTCTATGTCAATGAGAATGAGAATGCCAACGACAGCGACGAGGATGCGGTGTATAAGGAGAAGGTGAGTTGAAGCTTAAATAAACGAATATTTATAAATATTTTGTGCTCATAATGAAAATCTGTCGAAGATAGCCAAGATTGTAGATTGACCTAACAACAAGTTCTTGTGAATATTAGCTGCATCCATAAACATTTAGGAAATAATAAATAAAACAAGTTCGTTTTTATTTAATTCTAGTCTGAATATATATTCAAGATTAGCGCCTTTTTTTTTAGAATGTGTTTTTATTTTGTTTTTTAACTGAAAGTCTATCGAAAGATAACCAAATTAGATTGTTGATTGACGTCACAACAAATTGTTGTTGTCATTTGTTTGTTGTTTTTTTTTATCGAAAATTTTTATGATTTTACGATTAAAAAAAAATTAACAAAAAAGTATTTATTTAATTCTAGATTGAAAAATTGAAGATTGTCCCGTTTGTTTTAAGAATTCGTATTTACTATTTGGATATTTGGATATGATTATATTTCAGAATATTGAATTTTCATTTACGATATGAATAGCATTGAACCAATTCAAATAATAATAATAAAATACAATAAATAAACATTGATTAAATTTTAACTAATTTTCGTTTCATTTACAGACTCTGGAGGATGCTTTGTGCGTGTCGCAGCGCACCTTTGCCATAGCCATTGCCATTGCGGGACTGATACTGATGCTGGCCGTCGTTGCCGCTGTGCTTTGCATCATGGCACGCCGTAGCACCAAAACGGTGTCCAATTCGGGCAGCTCCATTTACAGTGGTCCCTACACAAACACTGCCTTCTCGCATAGCAGCTAAGCCAGCGAGCGATCCATACTATGTGACAGCATGATATAAATTCAAAATTTCAACATTTCCAAAACGATAACAAAATGGAACACTCAAAGTGTTTTAAAATCAAGTATGAGATACTCGCGCAGCAAGCAAGCTAACAAAAAAAAAAAAAGAAAACAATACAATAATAATATTAATAATTAAAGCCGCCTGCGGTAGTCAATTGTCAAAAATGTCTCGTGGCACGTTGGGCAGCAGTTTAGCCTGTAAGGTCACAAGTGCAGTGTCTAAAGAGCAACTGCCTAAGTTAAATAATTAGTATTTTAGTTTTGCATGATATAATAATAAAATAAAAAAACTTCCCTTCTTGTGCAGAGATTACCGGGCAATTTCCCATTATTGCCCGCTAATGTCGCAGAGTTGACCAGTGCTGCCACATGCACAAGCAACCTTAGAGTTGCCAGACTCTGTTTCGCACGTTTGTGTTGGTGTTGGACTTCCCCGATTCTTATCAGAAAACTCCACACAATCTCGCTTCTCGTAGTGCAGTCATTAAACTTATAAGTGTGTATTGTATTTATCTTACTTACTTTAACTATTAATTAAAACAAAAAAACAAACACACACACACACTCGACACTAACAACGAATGCAGCAGCCGACGCTCAGGTGATATTTGTATTTGTACTCTAATATTTATAAACTTAGTTCCAAAAAAACAAAAAACAAAAATCCTGCCACTCTTTGTTCTTAGTTAAATGTTTTGAACATTATTTCTTGTCATTGTTTAAACTATATGTGCACTACAAATATAAAATATGCTACCACTACTATACTATATTACAAACATGACAGCCCTCTACAGCACACAGCCGTTCCACAAAACAATAATAAAATTAATTTAATACAGTTGCATTAAATCTCAAAAGTAATTTAGCGAAAAGTCTTTGCACAGCTTCATTTGAGCATTTTTTTTTAATGTAGAATGCTCGCCTGGAGCCGTGCAATGCATATCTAAAATAAATAAAGAAGCAATATTTTAAATAAAGAGAAAACTCTGTAGTTAGGCATAAGCTAAATTTAATCAATGTGAATGAACAATAAAATTAAATTGACCATAAATAAAATAATTTCCCTGTATTTTAATTTGATGCACAAATTGCAGCCTGTCAAAAAAAGTATGCATAAAATGGCTGACTTAACATTTACGACTGTTAGCCATGTGGGGACTGTTGTTGCTGATTCATTTAATTCATTCAACCGAATTGCACGCACTTCGCTGTCCGACGGAGAATGCTGCCCCATTGCAGTTTCATCTGGTGCGCCAATGTCAACGCGCTGCTGCCGATGAGGCACTCTCCTTGGAGAGCACTGCAACACTGGCGGATTGCATGAAATTGGCACGTCAGCAACGCGGCTTGGCCTTAAACTATGCCCCAGGTGACCAGGAGCGGCGCAGGAATCGGTTTGCACAGCACAGCAGACGTGAGAAGGATGCACGTCGACGTTTGAGTGTCTTCGAGCAGCCTGGCGAGTTTTTCAACTGTCACATTTTGCAGTGTCCACAGAACACAAGCTTTGCGGGCATGGTAAACGACAGTCGCTTCGATTACTACAGCTTATATGGAAGACCTACAGGTGAGAAATATGCATAATTTGGCCAAAACTTAACTATAAACTGCGTCTGTTAACACAACCTCATTATAACAAAGCGAGCTCATGTTAATTGAAACTGCAACAGTTCAAAAAAAAATTCCTTCGTTAAAATAACGTTGTGCTGTTTGAATATTCAGCCTTTTCTCTTGCTAATTTGATTTCACCATGTTCTGCCTCCTTCAAGTAAAATAAGCACCTACTGTTAAAATGTACTGATACCGGTAATAAACGATTTCTGACAGCATTAAATACACTAGAATCTGCGCCAGTTATCATAATCTGTCTCGGCTTAAATATCCCATCTTGGATAAATACTCTGCCCCCATTAACATTGTGTCCTCCTATTAACATAATCCACTCTCGCTAACATAAACTGCATGTTATCTTGAACTGATCTGTTAACAGCTCTGCACAACATAAGCTGCGTGCCACAAGTGGGTCTCTTCGTATTTTATACGCAACCTAGCAGTTATTTAAATGCAACGCTGACCTGCACCAATGCCAGCGAATTTAGCGGCAGTTTGGCGCATGTAGCCTCTGAGGAGCGCACCTACGCATTATCGCATTGGCTACTTGAGTATAACAGACAGTCAAAGCCGGGCATCTTTTTGGCCTACATTGGTTTACTTTACAATAGCAGCACTTCACTGCAGGCGCTAGACTTTCGCAATGGCCAGCAGGAGAGTTTGCTGTGCTTTCTCTATCGAGCCTGGCATGTGGGACATCCACGACTGGGGTGAGTTTTTCGGTGGTCTGTTGAAATCCCTAAAAATAGGAATACTGCCATAAACTTACCATAAAAATCCCCATATTGTAGAAAGCCCAAAAGTTCCATAACATTCGAGTAAACTGTTAAATATTTTAGAGGTATCCAGGCAAATGCCAGCTGTGTGGCGCTAACACCAAGTGGCACTTGGCAAACGTTGGGCTGTGAACACCCGTTGCCTTTTATATGCGAGATCCATCGGCCACCAAACTCGCATCTGAACAAACAGCTGGATACTGGTGCAAATGCAGTGGACATGTGTTAAATATTAAGTCAACAGTGTTGTTGAGTGCAGCACTGTTATTCGCAGCTGTTTTTTTATTATTAGATTTAGCCGATTTTTCAAAACAAGAATAAACTAATATTATGTCGCGGTGTGTTCAACTCTCTCCCCACCAAGAAGTAACAAAGTGTAGCACTGACAGAAGAGCTGAAGCGAGACGTTAGCGTTTAGTGATACTTGTAGTTCCTGTGGTGCTTCAACTTGGAGTAGTTGATCAGATAGAAGAACGTCATGCTGGCCACGGTCAATTGGAAAAATGGTGCAATGCCAGCACGCTTGGGGAACACATATTTGTGCTGCCAACGCCACCAGGCACGGCTAATGGCACCACCCATGGCATTAGGTGTCTTGTTGCGACGTCCAAACCAGGCGCCCAACTCGCCCAATTTCACTTGGCCGAATGGAACATCAGCTGCAGAATTATGTAAAGTGTTAGAAATCTTGCAACGCCGCCGTATATCGTGCGGTGAAAATTACGTAATTTTTGCAAATTGCACATACCTTTGCCATAGTAGCGTGCTGGATCGTAAGGTCCGTGCACCTTGGGATTATACTCAGCGGGATAGTCACCAAAAGCCATCTCGCTGTGTTTTGTGTTATAAAATGTGTATTTTTTCCCAATTGAAATGAAATTGCTTGCTGTCTACTTACTCTGCTCGATACTCAAGTATGACTATGATGATCTATCGATAAGACACAAGGCAAGGCTGCGCATAGTGGTGCTCAAATAAAATATCGATAGTGCCATCGATATGCAACGAGCAGCGACTTTTGGTCACATTTCGATGTGGTGGCAACGCCATCGCAAAGTATATACAGAAATCAAATAAGAATTTTTTGCAAATCGGAATCGCGCTTAAATAACCATAATAAACATTGAAAACAAAAACGTTAATTGGAATTTCGGCAGCACAATGAAACTAGAGGAGCTTTTGACAAAGGGCGCACCATCGCCGCAGGAGGACGACGACGATGATGAAAAGGCGGAGTCGAAAACAAAAGCCACAAATGCCTCTGATGAGGGGGTGGAGAACGCTGAAGATGCTGCCGAAGAGTCTGCTGAAAAGGAAAGCGCAACGGGCAAGAAAAAAGGCACACGCAAAAAACGCTCTTTAAATTGGGAGGAAGCCGAACGCGGTCTGCTCCTGGAGGTAATCAAAACAAAAGTCGCATTCGTTGAGAATCGCAGCGTCGATGCCAAAAGCATCAAGGCCAAGCGACTGGCCTGGTCCCAAATAACCAAACAGTAAGTTTATACGGATATATATATAGTAAACTATATAGTTTAACTTAAATTGATTTACAGATTCAATGCGCTAAACTTTCGACATCGACTGCTGGAGCAGATTCAGGTCCAGTGGCGCAGCATGAAGAACTCCGCCAAGCGCGAACATCAGCAGAAGCATCCCAAATCAGATGCATTGGAGGGCATGCGGATGATTGAGTTTATGGAGGAGCTGCAAAAGGATCCGGTATCGTCGCGCAGTCAAACGCGCAGCGGCACCAATGGTGCCGTCGGTGTGCCACTGAAAAAGGAGCTGCTCGAACTGGACGAGGATGAGGATATGCCGCTGGCCGCCCTGCCAAATTCGACAAATGCCAGCGAAGATACACTGCAAACATCCACCATAGCCATACCCTCACCACCGCCCTCCACCGCCGGCGGCGACTCGCAGCAGGAGAGCGCCCAGCCACAGCAAGCGCCAAATCGGCGCAAACGTGCCAAAGCCAAACCGCAGCTGAGCAACAACAACAGCAAGGATGACACGGATCCTGGCACAGCCGGCCCGGCAGACAACGAGAAAACATCACCGACCCGTAAAAGACGACAGCGCAATGTAAGCTAATACATATATACGCATAAACTATATATAGGGAATATGTGTATATTTATAAAGTTTGACTATTGATTTCTATTTTGCTAGCATTCACAGGCACAATCGGTGCTTTCGGAAGATTTTAGTCCTGAAGCGCCGGCTGCTGGTCATGCCGCTGCTGTGGCTGGTCCCTTTACGCCTACAGCTGTTGCAAGTGAGATAATTGGCTGCGTAGACACCGAGGATAAATACAAACAGCAGCTGTTTAAGCTGCTGAAACAGGCGCGTCTCGCCGAGATCGATTATGCACGTCGCGAACACGAGCAGCGGCTGCGATTCGAGCAAATGGAGCAGGAGCTGAAGATGTCGTATTACCGGCAGGAGCAGGACCTCAAGTTGCGACAGATGCGCGAACAGCACGACATACGATTGAGGCAGCAGCGACGCGAGCATGAGGCACGTCTCAGCGTTTACAATCAAAGCGGTAGCGCCTACAATAGCAATGGCGAAACGCAACAGGGTAAGCAGCTGGGCCAAGGACACTGCCAGGGACAGGAGCCGCAGACGCCAATGCGCTGCAATCCCAAAACGGAATACAATAACGTGCACTTGGAGAGCGGCACAGCACAGCCCCAGGCATCGACATCCTCCAGTTGCAGCAGCACGGAAGCAGCGCTGGCGCTAAATGTCAACTCCCTGGCCTACAACTAGTTGTTGTAAATGGAAATGAACATTATCCACACACACAAACACACTCACACAACAACAACAACACCAACAAACGCCACCCACAACAACAAATACGAAATTGCCAGCATTTAATGGTAGAACAAAATGAAAAAAGAAAAGAACTTAGCTTGAAATGCGTTTAGCGAAATGTAGCCGACTCTCAAAGTCTCCCAAGAAAAAAAGAAAACAAAAACAATACAAGATAAAACGGTTATCTTTGGCATGCCGAAGTTTGCATGCCCTTGCAGAGCAAAGTCCTTTAGCTCATATCTAAATTTAAGTAATCGTAAAACTGTTCGTGTTCCGGCTACATGACAAAAAGGTTAGGAGTTTCTATGGCAGCTACATGATATAGTAAGCCGTAAGATCATGAATATATATATATATATATATACTTTCTAGAGACCTCTCTTCCAATACACTCTGCAAGGGTATTAATTGAAAATAAACAATAAGAACACTCAGACTAATCATGAATGAAAAATCGAATAATGATTCGAATACGAAATACTCACGTTGCCACATGCAGGTTCATGTCTCGTCCTGCTCTGACAAAATCCATGGACTGTTAATTTGTGTGCATGCCACAACACAGACAACATCATACACACACACTCACTCACACACACATTTGCATTTTTCAATATTAGTATTATTATATTTGTATCCTGGTATCTGTTAAGTGAACTTGCTCTACCAACAAAAAAAAACTTATGAATTTATCAATTTGTGGATCGCGGTTGTGTCACAAGAACAACAAAAACCAATAAGAAAAGAACAAAAACAAAAAAAAAAAGAAAAATACTCAAAGAACACACGAAACTCGAAACTCATCAAGAACTCAACTCAGTATTCTATTTTGCCACTGTATTACAACAAACAAATTCTCCTTTTGCAGCTATGTTAAGTTTTTGATTTGTTTATTAGAATATTATTTTTTTTAATTATATAAATATATATATATATATATTAATATATATACTTATACAATAATTGTACATCTATGTAGTTGTGTATTTTGTATGACTGATTCATACACACATATATATATATATATATATATAAAACAGAAAACAAAAAAGAAAAGAAAACTTTTATAATTGTCGTATGCAATAAGTTACGTTTTGTAAACTGTACGGATTGTCTTTTAAGGTACATTGCTAAGTAATACCCCTCCCGAAATACCAGATGTACACTTTGTGTTGTATAGCTCTGTAATATCCTGTATAACTTTGCTTTAGCTTACTAAATGACACATAATTCAAGCAAAGGAAAAATTAAACGATTAGATAAAGAAAATAAAACATTTTCAAATGTGTCTCTTTTGCTCGATTTCTACACAATCACAATTATATCATTGAAATTGTCAACATATAATCCAATACTCTCCTATCTTTGTTGACTGGAAAACAAGCAGCAAATATGAAGGATCTGGACGCAACACTAGGCTACATGGAAAATGCACGCTTCAACTACATGTATGGAAATGAAGTGGCACGCGAGCACTCATCATTCACGAAGACGCAGTTGCTCTGCATCGCCATGATCTATCACAAGTTTGTGCTGCGAAATGGACCGAAGGCCAAGTTTATGACTCAATTGCAGCTGAGCAACATGATCATGGATTTGTTTAAGGTGAAGGACTCCGATATTAACAGACGCATTGTTCTTATCGTGAGTCACGATCCCGACTGTACAGATCCGAAATTCTTACCGAATCGCCACTGTACTTTGGCCAGTTTTATTCGAATGATTGGTGTCTACTTCACAAACGATCTGGAGAAGCGTATGCGATTTGCGTTCAGTGTAATTTGATAAGAGTATTCGATTGATTGTGTAGGACAGTGTTTATAATACGGATTACCTGCAGATCTATGATGAACTCGGTTTTGGATATCTAAGTCGTCAGCAAATGATGCGATACGTGAACAAATTCTTCATTTCCAATGACGAGGATGAGGTTTTCGAATTGCGTTTAGTACTATCGAAAATAGTTATAGTTGACTTATGTATATACTCAATGACCTTTTGCAGGATATGCTGGAACTTCTGTTCCGCAAATTTGATACGGATAAGGACCTGAACATCACTTTTGTCCAATACTCCAAGATTGTGCGCAAGCAACCAGCGATGTTGGAATTCCTTGGAAATATCTTTCCATCACAAGCACAATTAAATTGTATTGCGTTGTGCTTCAATTTACTTCCCTGAAAAATGATTTATTTTTTGTTACCGAGAATGTTTCTTTTTAGCTTTGCCAAAATTGCTTAAATTAATTGAATTGAGAATTTTGTACATTTTTATAATATGCGATATTTTCAATTTTAATGCATAAAACTGCAAATTTCTTAATACATCATTATTTCCGGCAAATGTTTTTTACGTCAATTCATTTATTTGAATATTTATTGTTGAATTAAAAACTTCTTTTTTTTGCGTTAATTGATTTGTGCTTCAAAAATGAAAGACTTGGATCATAGAATGGAAAATGCATGCTTCAATTATATATATAGACTCATGATCTCACATATGAAGTCGCTCTTCACGAGCACCGAGTTGCTCTACATCGCCATGATCCATCACAAGTTTGTGCTGCAGAATGGCCAAAGGGCCAAGTTCCTGACTCAGATGCAGCTGAGCAATATATTGGAATTGATGTTTAGTGTTACGGATCGTGATATTAATCGGAGGATCGTTGGACTCATTAGCTATTAGCTCCTAAATTATCGACTGATTACCATTGTACCTTGGCCAGTTTCATCAAAATGTTTTTGAATCTATTTCTTAAAAGATGTGGAGAAGCGTATGCAATTTGTGTGCAGTGTAAGTGGGATCATTCTAAAGATCGTGCTGGAATATAAATAAATAAATAAATATATATATATTTATATAAAATAACGAAAGGTTTACGATCTAAACGATCGTGGCTCTTTTTGGCCAGATCTTCCTTAAAAGGGACAAAGAGGATGAGATCTTTGAGCTGCGCTCTGTAAACACTAAATTTTAATCAAATAAAAGAAATTCGTATCAATTTCTCGCAGTATATTATTCAAGTGCTGTTTGCCACATTTGATCTGCATAAGGATATGCATATCTCGAATTTCTGAGCTCAGTTTATCTCACAAAGAATTGGATACCATTCAATTCTATGTAAAACAAGGCACTCAGTATAATAACTATGCTGATGGTGGAAAAAAAGTGCTCGAGATCTAATTGATATGCGTATGCATATGTTGAGCTTGAGCACTTTTTCCACTTTAGCGTATAACAGTTTAGATTGGTGAAGAAACCAAAATTTATCGAATGTGTTTCGCTTTGTCGCTTTGTCGTTAACCAAATCCAAATTTTTGCATTCCAAATGATATGAAACAGAAATCGAAGCAAAACAAACATAAAATTGTATTTTTTATTTGTATTTCATTTTTTTTCTTTTTTCTTATCGCAGCTTGGCAACAGTTCTTCCTGTTCGCCAATATAGCCTTCAGTACGCAAAGCTCATTCGTAGGCGACGGTCGAATTACGACAAGACTAAAGACAAATAGAGAGAAATAGAGATAGAGAGAGAGAGTGAGACAGACGGAGTAGGAGAGGGGTGCAGAGGGATAGAGCGGGAAACTGCAAGCAAGTCCAAGTGTTATAACAGAAAGTGCAATAACCGCACAGCGCATAGAATAATAAACCTTGCATCTAACTAAACTAAAGGAAAAAAAGAACAGTAAAAGTAACTGTAAAATGCTGGTGCTCTATGCAAAATATGCATTTATCTTCTGGCTACTCCGCGAGAGCGATCATGGCGATTTGGAACTAATGCGTCAACTGTCAGAGGATAAAACGCTGCTCAAAGTGAGCGCCTGCACCAAAAGATGCCTGCAAACCACGCCGCAAAAGGTAAATTCCACACAAAGATCTTTAATTCATTTATAGCACTAGTGTTTTTTCTTCCAGAAATTAAATGACTGCCTTGAACACTGCCAAGGCGATAATTCGACCGATTTAATGCCTACGTCGCTGCGCCGAGTGCAGGAGAATTTTCTATTGAAGCTCGTCTGCCGGACGGAGTCCAAGCTAAGCTTTCGCATCCATTGGGTGCAACATGAGAGGCACAAGAACGCCACAACACAAAAGCCACCGGATGCTGTTTTCATAATCCGAACAAACGATAAAATGGAATCACAGATTTTTTTGGTATGTCCCAAAACTCTTCATGAAATTAACAAAACTAATTCGAATTCAATTTTCTAGTCTGATGACAGTTTCTTTACCATACCCGAACTGGAATCGGACACAACGTACAATATTACCGCTCATGCTGTGCACGCCGACGGCGCCTATTCTCTAATTGCCGAGGAGGCATTTCAAACATTGCGACGTGGCTATCAGCCCAGCAAAATGGGTGAGGTCAAGCTGAGAAGATTCCTGGAGCAGCCCGACAATTTGCACAGCATCGCCGCGGAAGTGGAGTGGCAACCATCAGCTGGTATTGAATGAGATCGTAACATAAATAAGATGAGCTGCTATATAAATTGTTTTCCATTTGTTTTGTAGATCGCAATTGTTACTTTGATATGATATACTATTCAACGGACACCCAAAGCATGGAGACGCCAACTCCAGTGGAATTTCGTGATGTAAGTTGTAAAATTTGTATATAAGATATAAATGGAAAGATCATCTTTAATTCCTTTGACAGCCTCGTCAGTTGTATACATACATCATATCCAATATGACATTTGGCGAGCAGTTCAAAGTGGGCGTGCGCACTGTCAACGATAGGAATATGCTGGAGAGTCCAGTGCAATGGCTGATCCTACAGGCGCCCAGCTGCCTGGATTGGTTTAACAACAGCTATGTGCTCTGCGGTGAGTTGAAGAGTTAAGTAGATATTTGGACTGAGATCTATTCACTTGCAGCACCACTGAAGCCCAGCAATCTGAAGGTGGAGCAGCAGCACTTTGATCAGAATATATTGGCATTGAATGTTAGCTGGTCGGCGCCTAAGTATCCGCCGGATAACTATACGCTGCATATACTGCACAATGATGACGAACGGGCCAAGTTCGCCGTAGATCAGAATGCCAGCTACTATTATATATCCAATATAACAGTGCTGAGTGATAACTTTGAGGTGGTTTTGGATGCGCATACGCAGGGTGGCACCAATGCCAGCATGGTGTTCCTTATCAAGGCACCGCTGGCGTCCTGGCTGCTAGACAGTAGCCTAATTAAATGGTTGCTCTTCCTGTTGGTGTGCATCAGTTGCATACTCGTCCTGTGCTTCCTCACGCTGAACAGGCACAAGCGGCAGGAGTGTCCGCATCTGGACACCAAGGATCTTAAAGCGGCACCCAATCAGTCCAGTGATTTTCATCTGTCGCTGATCAATAGTAGCAGCCTGTTGGCCACCCTCAACGCAGAGGACGATGAGCTGGAGGTGGAACCACACGCGGTGCTCCTGCAGGATGTGCTGGGCGAGGGTGCCTTTGGTCTGGTACGACGCGGTGTCTACAAACAGCGTCAAGTGGCTGTCAAGTTGCTCAAAGGTAAGGCAAACAAATGCAAAAGAAATGGACACATCTTTAAGCAAGAATGCCTTCCTTAGACCATCCCAATGAGGAGGATGTGCAGGCCTTCAAGTGCGAAATCCAAATGCTTCGAGCCGTTGGCCGGCATCCAAATATTGTTGGCATTGTGGGCTACTCGACCAGGTTCAGCAATCGCATGATGCTCCTCACCGAATACTGCGGTCTAGGCAGCCTGCAGAGCTTTCTGCGGTAAGTGTGGAGATCATATCCCTTCAGCCTGCCTAAAACTGGAGTATAATTTTAGCGATGAGTGGAAATTCCAGCAGGAGCGCAATAATCAGGATGTGCGCCCCAAACTTCAGCCAGCTGTTGCTGTCTGCTGTCCTGTGCGGATTCAGCAGCGCTCAGGACGATTGCTGGACAACAGTACACGCATCGAGGATATTAATATATCCATGCTGTCGACGCTGGAGGAGGAGAACGAGTCGGATCTCTCGCGCGATAGCCACAAACTGACCAAGCTGGTAAATGCCGCTGACAACAAATCATATGGACTGCAAGAGATTGAGAATCTCGATGCGAATCCGGTGGCGCCACCATCTGTGGCCTCCCTAAAGGCTATACTGAAACGAAATGCGCTAAATGAACAGAAATCGATGAAAATCTCTGGCACCGTTAGCTTTGAGAATCAGGAGTACTTTGAGGCACCCCCAGTGGCAGCTATCAGAGAACCCCTCAAATATGCCGATCTTCTGGACATTGCGCAACAAGTGGCCGTGGGCATGGTGAGTCTTTAATGGTGATTAGACTCATCAGAATCGATCTCGAACTTTGCTTCCTAGGATTTTCTGGCGCAGAACAAGATCGTGCATCGCGATTTGGCTGCACGCAATGTGCTCATCTCCTTGGATCGCACCATTAAAATAGCTGACTTTGGGTGAGTCCTTATAGTCCTTATAGAACTGTCCAGCTTAAGTATCCCATACATCTACAGTCTCAGTCGGGATGTCTATCATGAGAATGTGTATCGCAAGTCGGGCGGCAGTGGCAAGCTGCCCATCAAGTGGTTGGCTCTGGAATCATTGACGCACCAGGTCTACACCAGTCAGAGTGATGTGTGAGTAGCTCAACTCTAGCATAATTGACTTGTGCAGCTATTAATAAACTAATTTTTGCAAGCTGGTCGTTTGGTGTACTGCTGTATGAGATCACAACGCTGGGCGGCATGCCGTATCCATCGATCTCGCCCAGAGATTTGCTGCAGCTGCTGCGTCAGGGACATCGGATGAAACGACCCGATGGCTGTACGGATGAACTGTTTGCACTGATGGAGAGCTGCTGGTGTTCAATACCCGCCAACAGGCCCACATTTGCCGAGCTAAAGCTACACCTCGATGCGATGATAATAGCCACCAATGAGTTGCCACTGCGTCTGCTCCAGCAACGGATAAACCAGGCCAACGAGCAACCAGAGAATCCGCACAGGTGAGCACCACTCAAAGGGAACTTTAACTATGCTTCATATCCAACTTTCAACCACACAGCAAAGTGGAGCAGCTGCCCCCAGATGATGTGCACTATTTGCAACCGTTGAACTAGCTGCCACCTGAATATGGAGTTGCGACTTAAATGTTTTATTTAGTGCAATAAACTTTAAGTAATTAGTTGGTTTTATGTGATATAAAAGGATTTCATAATACACTTAGTTATAGCAATCAACAATGCTAATTAGCTGCAAAATCGAAAGAAAATAAAATAGAAAATAAAAACCCAAACTACACAAAATAAATGACAAGTAATTTTATTTTATTAACTTAAATATAGTTTTCGTTTCAATATTGTATCTTGTTTACTTGCCAAAGCGAGCAGCTGCTCAGTCTTTGATAATATTAATAAAAAGTATAAATTTAAGTAATTTAAATTCAGCCAGAGTAAGACTGACTAAGGAAATACTCTTTGAGCTTAACTGAAACTGAGAAACCTTTGGCATTTTTCCCGTCGTAGGCAGTTTTGTTCATTTTTTTAACAGTTCAAATTTAGGGCGATCCGCTTTACAACACATTTGGAAAACTATCTTAAAATTCCGGATTTGAAAATGTGCCAACACTGCTGCACTATGCCTGTCCGCTCTGTCCGGTGCAACAGATAGCCGATCTCTGCCACGGAGCACCGCACAGAGTGAATTATTCCAAGCAGCAGCTGTATGGCTATCCTACGCCCGAGCGTCATCCAGTTGACAACTCGAATACATGCAAGGAGATCTCCGAGCTGTATTGCCATGTCGTCGAGTCAAAACGTAAAGTTGCTCGGGGCAGAAGGCACCGGGATACAATAGTCAGAGCTAAGGCATTAAATGAGACAAAGAGTGGGCGTAATCAATATATAGATAGCATTATTCCAGTGCTGTATTCGGATACAAAGCATGGCAAGGATCCCACTTGGACGTGGAAGTTGTCAGAGCAAGTGTTGCCTGTGCAGAGCCCAATGGCAGAGACGTCGGCTTCAGGACTATGCAGATTGTAACATTTTCTACAAGGATATATTATTATTATATATTATCACTCAAACACAAAGTACAAATTTGTTCAGTAAAATAAATTAGCCACAAACAGTTATTAAGGCCTTTACACTTAGGCCAATTTAATTAAACAAAGCATAGTTTGTTAGATTACACCAAAAAATATCAATTATTAGAATTATATAGGTCGAATAACTGTAGAGCCATTAGTATAAACAGATGAGAATGTAATATTAAGTTAAGTTAAGGTGATTAGCGACATACGAGTAAATAGTAAATAGGTTAAAAGGTGAATTTTATTTATATGCTGAAAAAACTTTTAACGAAACTTTAAATAAATTGCAAATATTTAATACGAGTGTTTTTAAGATTTTTATGTGTGTGCTGAACTTTAATTGTAATTAGAAATTAATCGATACAAGTTACTAGTCAGCTTTGGGCTATCTATCTATTTTCTAACATAACTGATCACAACTAAAACAATCCAATCCACATAAGATTAACAGCTTATCTGTAGTTAAACGACCTGCTTGAACAAACACCTCTGAAAATATACATAAATATATCAGGTATACGAGTACAGTATATGATGATTTATAAGTATAAATCTTTTATATATATATATATATATATATATAAATATATAGTTTTATTTTTTACATAACACAAATCTCTCTGTCTGTTGGACTCTTTGGGCTGACTGCTGTCGTTTGGCATTTTGCTAATGGCGACTATAGCCCAATCCGAGTATATTTCTCGCCTGCAAAAAACAAAGTTGAGGATTAGTTGAACAGATTCTATAGATATAATAGTCATATATATGTGTACCGTTATGAAAGCCGAGTTGAAGGAACGTGAAAATGTTTGTGTCATGCCCTCGGTTTGGGAGAGTGCCATCTGCAGCTGCACAGCCTCGTCCATGCGATTCTTGAGGAACTCCCAGGTCTGGGCATGCGCCGGCGACGCATCCTGCAGCATATACAGCTCTGTCATTTTCATAATCGTTGCCAGGCCAATGCGTCGCGTATACCAGCCAAACTGCAAGCGAACAATGGAGATTAACAAGGCTTCACTTGAGAATTGCGGCGGAGACAAACTTACGTCAACGGAACGATCGCCGGAATAGTAGCAGATGTCATCGACCAGCGTTAGAACCTGCGCCAGCGCCGTGGATGCATGCTGGGGCTGAGCAATCAATGCCATTGCCTGTGGCCATTGCGTCTTGTAGGGCTCAATCATGGTGAGACGTTGACGCACTGCTTGGACAAGGAAATCGAGCGGATCGTTGACCTCCAGCTGGCCATTGTTCGTTTGCAGTTGGAGCTGCTGCACCAGCTGCGCATTGCACTTGCCATTGAAGTGGGAGACGAGCGCAAAGCCACCTTCGGGAAACATGCCATGCACCACGCTTGGATAGCCGCACTCCTCGGCACCCTGGATGATGGCCTGCTTGGTCCAGCCATGCTGTGGCACATGCAGCATTGCTGCATCCAATATCCGGCTGCGTATGCCATCCACTTTCGCCTGCTTGGCTGCCTCCTCCTCGCTGGTTTTGCCTCTCTCTCCGCCACCGCCATCGCCTTGTGTGTCTGTTGCTGCAGCTGCCTGCTCAGCGGCATCGCGTTCCCGTTCGCGCTGTTCCTCGCGTGCTCGAAAATCATCCAGTTTGTCCGTCTCCTTGGCATAGCTGCGTCTCAGAGCTGAGGTGGGCTTTAACGTTCTGCATTGCTGCAGTGTGTGAAAAGATGCAGTTACGCCGGCGTTGCATGTCGTTGCCAGCAAGCAGCTTTGTGCATCTGCAAAGCAGGAGGGGATTGGAACAAATTGATTGTTTTTCATATGTATATAACTAATACTGCTTAGATTGATGAAGGCTAGTCATTACACTTGGAAAGATCAAGTCATTTTTAGAGCCCATCCCTCATTCTACACTGCGAACAGCTCATCAAGCATTCGATTAGTGTTCTTATTTGTTATTTTGTGTTTAGACTCATCAACAATGCTGGGAAACTGTTTGCCATTGTATCATTAAATGTTAACAATAGTGTAATAGAATAATGAATTATTTGTTGTTATACCCTTGAGTATAATAAGTAAACAAATTGTTTTGAATTTGCCACGCATTGATGGAGACGTGCCCGAACCCATAAATTATATATATCTTAAAAATATTTATTTTCTTTTTTATTTAGTTTTTAATATTAAGTTTAATTGGTTTTTTTTTTAGTCTTTGTATTTTTGGTATCGACTGATATAAGTCGCCATTAACTAAAATAAACAAATATATTTATATATTCTTGATCAGCATCTCTATCCGATAATTGGCAGATTTCTTACAATTGAGATGACGGCAATTGTACTTCGGTCTAGAAGGGTGTGTAATCTGTAATCTTTATATAAACTAAATTAGCTTCGTAAATGCATATTTGTTAAGAATTTTAATTTTAATGTTGCGCGTCGAGAACATTTGAAGCTTAAACTTTAAATCAATCTTGGTATGGAATGTATAATCAACTAAGCTAATTTGCTGCTTTAATATATATTTGTCAAGCATTTTAAATATGCACGAGTTAGGAACATTTAAAGTTTAAGCTCGTAGGTTAATCTTTATACCTAATATATATAAACAGTTAACCCAATTAGCCATATATATATATATGCATATAATATATATATTTTAATTATTTGCGTGCTAAGAACATTTTTATTGCTTTCACGCTTAAACTTAATCTTTATACCGAATATATATAAACAGTTAACCCAATTAGCCATATATATATATATGCATATAATATATATATTTTAATTATTTGCGTGCTAAGAACATTTTTATTGCTTTCACGCTTAAACTCTAAACTGGTAAAGCGTTTTTATTCCTATGAAGTTAACTCTGTAAGTTCGTAGGTCAATCCACACATAGAGAATATGTATATTCAATTAAGCCCAAGCAGATTTTCATAGATTTGAAGAGACGCTGTTGTCTTCAAATGGATTTCCCCATGCAGCCTAATTGTTAGGATCAACTGAGAATGCGGCAAGAGATGACAAATTGAAGGTCGCATTGGAAACAACTAAAGCGCATTTAGTTTAGCATTTAATTAGCACAATTTGGTCAGCTGGCCACCGGAGCTCAGCTTGTTGGACAATTAGCACCAAGCCGTCAACCCAAGTTCACAAAAAGAGCAACAAAATAAATGAAAAAAAGTAAACTAAGCCAAATCATAATATTTTAGTCAGACAAAAATTCGTTTTCATTTCGTTTGCGAGATACAAAGTTATATATATATATATGGATCTATATATATATAGATAAACCTAATAATATGCGTGACCAAAAGTGGGTTTTTGGGTATTGTGCACGAGGGGATTAGGGCTGCTCCACATCTAAATCCATGGCAACTGGCTCCGATTCCAGTTTGCGTTGATTGCTATTCTGCTCGATGCAATCGCTGGCCAGAAAATAGATGACACGCAACGACTCCAGACCCGTTATGGAGGTGGCCAACACCTCCAATTTCTCCTCGCGTCCAATATCCGGCAGATGGCCGCTATCGCCGCCTCCGCCGCCATCGTCAGCCATGCCGCTGTTGCTGATGTTCACGGCGAGCATGTTGAGCTGCTTCTGCATCAGTTCATCATCGGAGGCACTCTGGCCATTCTTCACCCGCTCCCGGTACGCACGATAGTGGGCCAGCGAGAAGTTCAATGCCTTGCCCAGTGGCTCCAGCAAACGCTGTTGAATCTCTGGCAGAATGTGCCAGAAACCCGTACGATTATCCCGATCCGCAACAGGGAAATAACGCAGCACATTCAAAGCACTCGCAATGCTATTCGAATGCACCAACAGATCCGATTTGACATCCTCGGGTAGCACACAGACGCACTGCAGCAGCATCGAACGAAACTTGAGCCCACAATACACCTCCGGCAGTGGCAAATTCCGGCGTGCCAAATGCACAGCGACAATATCCTTGAAGAGACCAGCCAAGTAACCACGAATGCCATCGTGTTGCAGCGTATCCAGCAGATTCTTGAGTATGAAATACTTGGCGGCATCCTCGAAGGCCAGCACATAATGATGCAGCACCTGCAGGCCGAGGCGACGCAGTGACTCCTGCGGCGCATAGCCGGTGATCTTGCACAGGGCGTCGCAATAGCGCTTGTGCACCTCCAGATCCAGCGAAGCCTGCGGCACCGGCTCCGTCTGGATGCTCAGCACATATTCATTTAGCCGCAGACCGCAATGTTGAAGCGGTGGTTCCGATTGCTCCAGCAGCACTGCCACCAAATACAGACTCGCCTCGAAGATGAAGAGTGGCGCATAGATTTTTGGCGCAGTGGGGGGCAGCAGTTGACCCACGAGCATGGCGTGATAATACATGCCGACAGCGGTCAGCGGCAGCTTCTCGTCGATGAGGAATATATTCAGATTGGTCAGTTCGAAGACACCCTTCGAGGGATCGAGGCGTCGCTTCCAGCGTGCTCGGTTCTCGACCAGACCGAGCAGATAATAGGGATCGCCCAGCAGCTGGGTGGCATCGCCAGTTAACTTTTGCACCACCTGCTGCACATAGGTCTGTGCTCGGCCAGCTTTGGCGCGTGCACGCAAAAAGTTGCGCTGCGTCAGCTCGGGTCGGAGGCGCCACATACCCGGCTTCTCGCCGGGATCCAATAGACTCTTCGTCACATTGCTCAGCTCGAGCAGCGCCAACGGTTTGTCGAGCAACTGCAGCAGAAAGCAGGTGAAAACATTGCGACGATTCAAGCTGCAATCGCGAAAACCAGGCGATCGCAGATCGAACTGCAGGATCTGCTGCAACAGCGGCTGGTAGCACAGATCAATGGTAATATAGTGGGCCATCAATTGCTCGATCTGTTGCTCCTGTTCCAGCAGCAGTGCCTGCTGCCCATCATAGCCGGCACTCACATAGTCGGGCAGGGGCAGAGCCCTCAGCCGAGTGACCACCGAGTGGAGGCACCATTCGATGGCCTGCGGCTTGGCGTTGCCCTGACGCAGCAGCACAACCTGGAGGGCACGCAGATATGCCGAGAATATCGCAATGCTGCTGCTCTCCTCGATCTTCTCCATCAGTTCCAGCATAAACTGCTGCAACGGAGCATATTGTGCCACAATTTTGAGCAACTCGTTGCAGCAATCGAAGAGTGGCGCATCGTCCACATTTGTGGCATCCGTTAGCGTTGGCGCGCAAATATCGCCGTACAGATCCATGGCGATTGCAGGCAGATGAGGGGCATTTTTTGCCGCCTCGGCGGCACTGTGAAAAAGCATTGTGATGCCATCGAAGGCGCGTTCCAACAGCAGCTGTTTGATCAGACGCAGTAAATTAGCCGCAGCACTCGTTTCCATTTTATACACACGCACACACACTGTTTCCTTTTTTCCGATTTTTTTTTTTTTTGTTTTCACTTTGATTTTAATGAAACTGAAAAATTGTGGAAATAGTTTGTCGTCTGGCGACCGGCAGCTTTATCCATTCCCCCCCTAACGTAGAAATTTGTTCAAAATCAGCTGTTCGCTCTGAATGCCTGGATGTATTTCGTAATGGGGCGAATGTTGCAGCTATGTTGCGGCAGCTGCTGTCGCATTTTTTGGCATTGGCCTGTCTTAACACTTGTTGTTCAAATAATGATTTACTTACTGAATGGCAGCACAAACTTTTGTAGGCGTAGTAACTTTTGCACACAGCGCACATTTGCCATTTTAGCGCTCCAAACGTTGTCTGATTCAACTGATATTTACTCTTCTTATTCTATTGCCATTCACCACAGCAGCGGACAGAGTGCTGTAAACACACTCAGCCATTCGGCATTTTGCAGCACTGTTCAGTTAGGGTTGATAGTGCAACAAATTAAATAAGTGCATTTGCAAACGTTAAATGTGCATAATAATCATTAATAATACATATTTTTCATAGCTAAACTAACATTGCTTCTTAAAGTGCCGCCTGTGTGGCTGTGCACCAACAGCTGTTTGGTATTTTTTCTCGCGTTCATTCTGCATATTTAATAACTTGCACAATCTGGTCACACCGTTCAGTAGTCCAAGCGCTTTTCATTCATCGTGTGTGTGTGCTGCTCGCGGTGCGAGCACTGAATTTTTTATTAATTTTTAAGCATAATTTTTTTGCAAACCACTGCGAAATTTCTTAGTCAATAAACGAACTGGGCGGCGCGCCAAAGTCAATTGAAAGCAGCGCCATATAGTTTCACCACAAAGTGTTCAATTTGTTGTTGCAAAAAAATTAAACGCGAATGCGGCAAAAAAACAAAAAATAATTCAAAACGAAATCGCAGAAATTCCAAAGCAAATAATCAAAATTTAAACGGCGAAAATCACAGAAAAACCAAACGAAATTTACATAAAGCATTTCTAAAGTGTTTAACGAATTAGAATTAGTTAGTTTAGGCAAAAAGTAAACTTCCAGTAAACCCCAAACCCCCGACAAGGGTGGAAAACCGTGTGAAAATCTCTGTGTGTGTTGAGTGTGTCTCTGTGTGTGTGTATAAAAAAGGGAAAAAATTGGTGCGTCTGTGTGTGAAAAAGCGAAATATGTCTGAGCAACAATTTAAGGCTGTTCCTGTTCTCAAGCCCGGCTCAAATCCAGTTTTGTGCGCAGCGGCTTCGTCTCAGGATTGAAATTGTATCGACAGCAACAACAAACAACAACAACTGCAGCAGCAGCGACAACAACAGCAAACTGCAAATTGCTTTGGGCCCTTTCCTTGTACCCGCCCCGCCTCCGCTGGCCGCTCGTCAAGGTGGTTATTCCTGTTTGACTTCATTTTCACTGGCTGCCAAATTGCTGCTACTTTCGCCGCAAAAAAAAAAAAAACAACAAACCAAATATTTTTTGGGCCTGTCAAAATGTCGACGCGTTCGCAATTAACCAAGGACCTCAATGGTGAGTAATCGTCATCGTCATCGTAATCGTTATCGTTTTCACACCCACACACCTCAGGTTCTACTTACTTTTCTTCTTCCTCCTCTTCTTCCTCTTCTTTGTTTTGAAGCAGTGAATTGCATTCTGCATAATCTTCTATCCCCCTTTTCTCTCTTTTTTGTTTGTATGCATCCCCCGTTCATTTGCTGTTTTGTTTTCGGCTTTTACTTTATGTTTTGTTCTTGACGTTTGCTTCGCTCCCCGCTCTCGGCGCACTTCCGTTTCGCCACAATGCGACACGGACACGCCACACTGCCTGCCCCCCATTCATCACCCTGTCCGCTCTTGTGTGTTTTTGCTAGCAGCAGACAAAATCAGTTTGAAGGGTTTGAGTAGCAGCAGTTTGAGATGCGCTGCTCAATGGCTCCTTAACTGCAGCTTGCAAAAGTGCAAATGCACGCACTGCATGCATATGTAGTTATGAGTGTGTGTTTATATGTTTGTTGTGTGTTTCTTTCCCATTCATTCGCATAGTTTGCGCTTTAAATACCCCTTACACAAACACAAGGGGTAAATGTGCTTTGGTAATATGTTTACAAAAGGGGAGAGTTAAAGAAAAAATGAGTATATGTTTTATTTTTATACCCTACTCGCTCTAATTTATATATTTTTATAGCCTAAAATATTATAAATATACAAAATTACATACTGTATGAAAGAAAAAAATATGTGCCAGGCAAATTCAGACCCGACTATAGGGTATATTCTTAGTGAGCACTATTGCACTCTTATAGTTGTTAATTGCTCTCGCCATGATATTTAATTGAGCTGAAATTCAGTTGAGCGCTGCAAAACAGAAAGTAGAAGGAACAATAACATTAATGACAACAGCAGCAACAACAACAAAAACATTTATGGCGACTTATAACTGCATGATATACAAAATCAGCAAACATTCACATGTCAGTAAATATAAATGTGTGTGTGTGTGTGTGCATATATGCATGTGTGTATATGTGTATGTGTATATATGCTCACTTGTAAATAACTGTTAGTCAGAGCTTTGCCTGAATGCCATTTAAAAATGCGCCTCGATATCACGCACGGAAATTGTAGAAGCAGCTGGTCACATCATCATTAAATTGAACATCATCATCATCATTAAATTGAACGTCATCAGCAACATCATTATTGTTTTAATTGGCAACGTTTCAAAAATCAACACATTGCGAAGATAAAAACCGTTCAAATTAAGATAAAATACATAAATATATGTTTAAATATGCATGTCACGTCTAAATATCCTCAATAAATTGAATTAAGTATTTTCTATTAGTTGTTTTAAACACTTAAAAAGTTTAATTTACTAAAAAAAAATTTAAGCAAATTCAATTAATTAAAATAAAGAAATATAAAGAATTAACATTCTATTGTATAAATTACTAATAGCAAAGCTGAAAGGCTACTGGAATTATTTATAATATTGTAATATGTAATTAAATCTTTTATATCTAATATTAATCAATTTAATAAATAAAGAGTTAATATTAACAAATGTAATTAATAAAGTTAATATTAAATCTGACTGGATTCTGTTTGTGTTCACTTGAATTCCACACATTTTACAACAGTGATCGCAACTGCAAATATGCTTGAACAATTTTCAGACTATTGCAATAAATAAATATATTCGTTTTAGTTTGCGTAAACCTGAAGAGAATATGGTCAACAATTATTCAATTGATATTTATAATGTTTGCATACAATTCACGTAATATTTGCTGTGCTGCCTTATCAAAGGCAAAGGTTTTTGCTGTTCACTTTTTGTTTGTTTGTCTATTGACTGCGATTGGAAAACAGCTCAATTAGGGATCGCTGATTTCGTTATCTGAGCGAGACTCGTGATTAGGTCGCTGTCAGACTGTAGAGTTGGTAGGGGGAGCGCCCCCTTCAATGATTAATGAACACACATACACAGGTGTCCGAAATGGACTCAAAAAAAGAACGCAAACACAAACAAAAACACAAACAGACAGTTAAAGGAACACAAATTCAGCATAAATCAGAGGCCCAATTGAGTTTTGTGTTCGAGTTTATTTTGATTTGATTTTCACGCTGGAATTTTTCCAAGGGGAGCGCAGCTGCAACTGCAACAGCAGCCAGTCATTTTGGGCCACATAAATAAAATTGTCAATGGTTGAGTTGCTCCAAATTCCAGTTGCAGTCGAAAATAGATAGATAAATAAAATGAAAACATTTGCTTTAATTTATGAGCATTTGAGGAAAAAACAGAAATGTTAATGCTAACATTCTGCTAATTAGACTAAAGCTAATTGGGAGAGTTGCCAACAACAACAAAATAGAAAAATAAACGTTGCACCTGGTGAGAAGAGTTTTGCGTTAGGACAATACGTCAGCTAAGAGGGAGAAATATGAGGGATGGGTCGGGTGGGGGGGGGGGGGGGGGGTGTTGTCTTCTTCTAGTTAAATGGTAGCTGCTGGATTTACTGTCATTGCACTCAAATCAAATTAGCGCGAATGCCAACGAACTTGATGAAAATTGCCAGAGCGCTGAGTGAGTTGCTCTCAAAACTGTAAGTCGACTCTGATTCGCTTTGTCGCTTGTTGCCTGTTGTTGTTGTTTGTTGCTGGTTGTTTGTTGCGGGTTGTTGTTGCTGCTACTGCTTGCTGCTTGTTGATTTTTCACGCCCGTCGGCTTCTGTTGCGCTGTCAAGCGTTAACCAATTTCCGGTGTCCATTATTATTTGCGTCTATGCAAGAACCTTTTAGCTAACATCAAATACCTTAGCCAAATATGCTAGCTGAACATTTAGTTAATATCACTGCTCTTTTTATATTTTTGACTTATGTTCGCTGTCAATTAAGCGCAAATTTAAAATTGTGTGCTTTCTTTAAAAATATTGGAAATGTTTTTTAAATTTTTAATGAACTACTGCATTTGTTATAAGAGCATACAAATATTTAAGAAGCAAAAAAGCAATTACAAAAGTAAAACAAATATCGTTGATTATTATGAATATTTTTATTTAATTGTTTATTATTGTTATTATTATTAATTTTATACATTTTTTTTGTTTGTTTCAAGTATATTTGTGATCTTTTCTATGTTCTATTTCACATATATCATATTTTCGCTTGAAAAATACATTTCGAGATAAGCACAAGTCAAAAACAAAATGCTTCACTGCATTTCTTTCATTTACGTTGCAATCGCTCTTCGTTAACGGTATCTTGTGTGTTTGTTGTACAGTGTATTAGCGCACAGCTCGCGGTCACACCCAAAAACTAAGGTAATGCATTGCACTCTCTCTCTCTCCCCCACTCAATCGCACTCTTGTATCTCCCCCGCTCGCTGGGGGTCTCTCTCTCTCTCTCTCTCTCTCTCTCTCTCTCTCTTTGTTTTTTTCTTTCGTCAACTGATAAGCGCAACGTGCTGATAAGAGGCGTTCGCAGTTAACTGGCCAGCTCGACTCAGTGCTGAATTCGCAGCGCTTTGTGCCTGACTGGTAAATCCGTCAGAGAACTTTGTTAATCCGCTTTTATTAATTTCTGTTGTTGTTATTATTGTTCACATTGTTTATTATTTGCATTCAAGAATTGTGCTACTTTTGTTACGTGTTCCGTGTTACGTGTTACGTGATGTACACAAACGAAATGATGAATCACATCGATCAGTATCTGCGGCGCATTATAGAGCTGCAAATTCGCGACGTGGTTAAGAAATCTAAAGACGAAGGTGAGATACACTTACATAAAAGCACACACACACACAACACTCACAGACAACAGCCTATATTTTATTGTGTTTGATTAATGCGTCATCTTTTGACCAACAACTAGATCACACTAAGAAAGAGAGCCAGAGAGTGTGAGATAGAGAGAGAGAGAGAGAGAGAGCGTAAAGGCGTTTTTCACACGAGTAACAATGAAGTAATAAATAACATTGCTGCACCTATTTTCAGCGGAAGTTGACTTGTTCAAAATGAACGGAATGCGTTTATTCGTTTGTTTTGCCAAAGTGCGATTTAGCCAAATCAAAGAAATCTTATCGATAGCGTCAAAAGTTATTATTGCACTAAAGTAATTCTCATTGCAGTAAATAATATAAAATTAGTTTCAACTGTTTTGTTTTGCTTATTTTGATTGCGCTAAGTTCCAATTGAGTTTGCGCCAATGTCAATTTTTTATACCCTACGATTACTGCAGTTTAGTAATTCTAATTTTGCAATTGTAAACGTTTTCAAAATAGTTTCACCTTTTTTTTTTGCCCATGTTGTTTTTCTTAAGTTTAAATTTATCTTGATGTTTCTGCCACTTTTCCTTTGCTTATTTCTTCTGCTTCTAATTCATATTAATTGTCCATTATACTTAAATTTTGTTAAATCTAAGGAATTGCCAACTAAAAAGAAGACAATGCTTGTGAATTTTCTAAAATAAAATGTAGTGTATCATGTCCATTATGCGAAGTTTTTCCCCATCTTCAAATTTGTTGTTCCAAGGAACTTTACTGGATATTCTACTAGCTAATTTTCTCGATTATCGGTTATTGGTTGCTGATTTTCTTGAATCCTTCCCGTCTTTCGGTAGTTTTTTTTTTACTTAAGAGCATTTCTAATGAAGTTCTGAGACTGCCTTGATCTTAAAGCTTACATTCTATCTGCTATCCTTAGGGAATGTCCTGTAGCAATGTCCTTGAGCCATTTAATATTATTTAGTAACTCAGTTAAGCCTTCAATTTAATGAATATATTCAACAAATAATAAATCAAAGTTTTCTTAATTGTATGCAACTTATTTCCCTGTGCAGTTCAATTTGTAATTATAACAAAAAAATAATTCGTTGTATTTTCGACATGATGCTTACACTTTATTTTGATAATTCATAAGTAATGTCGTCACACCTATTTTACTGTCCAGGTGTGTATTTATCTCGATGGTCTTGCAACAGCCGAGGAAAAAGTAGAAACTAGTTTTCCAAATTTGAATGGCTCCACTTATTTA